TTTTTACCTGTGCAACATAAGACACCTTCAGTTTTATTAAATACTGTTCCATTACAACAAGTTTCTTTTGCATCGTTGTATAGTCTTGATTCGCTTGTAACACCACACAACAATATTTTACCTGTGGAATACAAAGTACATAAAATGGTTATATTCCATCAATTAAATCCCTCCCTCCTCCGCCTTCAAAAATGATTTAAAACGGGCAATGACAGAATAAAAAAACTAAGCTTTTTTTTTTTTAAAGTTTAATAACAGATTCCGTTCTGTATGTTCAAAGATTAAATATAATTGTATCGAAAAATATATTTGATTTCAAAAGTCATGCAAAGAATATCATTTTTTATCTCCGCCAGATATGTATTGTTCTATTTCAATCCCCTGATTGAAAAAGGTGAAGATAAAAAACAGTGATCGATCACAAAAATCAACAATAAACAATTTATGTACAAATCTCTGAACAGTGTATAAAACACGGACCCTTGGAAATTCCAGGGACGGGATCAGCTGACCCATTATTAAATTCACCATTGGTGGTGACTACGCCTCCAGAATGTGACCCATTGCTTGCCATTTTTGAAATATTCTTAGTTTTCTGCTCCAAGGTATCATTACAACTTAGTGTACCTTAAAAAAAGAAATAAAGAAAAGGTATAATGTTCATTGTCAATTATAATTTGCTTCCACTCAATCAAATAAAAATGGCAATTTACTGAGTTTTTATATGTTGAATTAAATTCTTTTATTTCATTTTTCATTAACGTATGAGTTATACTCACCAGAACCAGTTTTGTTAACGACAACGTTACCACAGCAAAGGTAAATTTCCTTGTTGTAGATTGTACCTATATTTATCATTTAAAAATATATAAAAAGTTACTTCAGTTTATGTAAATAAGATACACAGGTATTCAGGTATTAGACGGTAATTTTCGATAAAATGAAATGACTTTTTTGTACAATATTTATGTGTTACAGTTATTGGTTCTTTAATGATACAGACCATTACAGCACGTCTGTACAGTGTCATCGTATGCTTTGTAATTTGAACCATCATAACTGCATAAGAGAGATGCTGTAAAAAAAAAAATTAGGGAATTCATTATCATTTGAGTAAAATATTAATCATGTTTTAATAGGTACTAGTATTATGTTACTTATCTTGTAAATCATTTCTGAATATTTTAAACGAAGAAGATAAAAAAAAAAATCTGTAGAAAATATTTTTCAAAACCTTGAAGAGACACCACTCTCCAGGATAACAAAGGAAAAACACCAGTAGAATGATTTAGTTTACCCTACCTAGAGATCTGAACCTAGAATACCATGTATTTTTGATATAGACAACTATGCTATTTAAAATCATACTTATCATTTAAAACGGATGAGACAGAGATCTTTATCATTTAACTTAAATTTTTTACAAAAATGTCTTGTATAATTACTACGGTTTGATCAATGGTTCTAGGTAAGGAGTTTTAAGCATAACCAGTAAAGATAGAGTCCTGGTCTTCTTCCTTTTACTTTTGGCTCTGCTCATCTATAAAAAGTGTTAATTTCACCTTTACAAACTGGAATTTTTAAATCCGAATAATAATTATTTAGTTGAATAACAAGAATATGATTTAAATCAGTAGGCAGGTTTGCGAAGCTATCTTAGGACTAAGAAACGTCTTATATAGAAGATATACTTAGGATATTTCTTAAGACTAAGTGGGGTTTTCGAAAGTATCCTAACTTAAGAAAGTTCTTAAGAATTATCTTAAAGTTAGGACAGCTTTTGACATATCTTAAGACTATCTTAAGCAAAAATGGCCGCGCCCATGCTGTTGCTGACTCGACGAATCGTCGTATCAGATGTGACAGGGTATTTAGAGATATTGATAACCTTCTTGACTACCTTGATAATGAAGCTATAATAAGAAGGTATAGGCTTTCAAGACCCTTACTCTATGATTTATGTTAACAATTTAAAAATGAACTCCAACGTCCTACTATGAGATCTCATGCATTACCTGTCTCACTGCTGTTAATGGTTGCATTACGATTTCCAAACAGTTGTTCGTGATGTGCATAACATTTCAAACCTTCTCGGGTTTTCTTACTTACAACATCAGAGTATGGCAGTGAAATGTCACTTAAGTTGCGTTTATTTTTATCACACATACTATTGAACGTTAAAGTAAAGTTTAAGTCTGGTATAACAAAGAGTTAGACTTGCTCAAGTCTCTATGTTTTAGTGCTCTCTTTCATACTTTTTGATAATGTCAAACATCAAAGTTTGATAACATTTAACTATAAGGGAGAGCAAAGGACAACAAGACAAAAATGAACAAAGAATTATTTAATTAAAAAAAAACATAGACTTGAGTAAGTCTAACAAAGAGTACGTGAAAAGAGTTCACATACCTCAGTCACAAACGTAAACAAAACTTTCCATAACCTTCTTCATCTCAAAGCAAACACTTATGATGTTTCCATAGTCAAGCTTCCCTCTCAATCCCATCAATGAAGCCAATCACTTCACTCAGAAACCACTTTTAGTACAAAAGACTACATTTTTGGGAGAGAGCGAAAACAAGATGCAGTTATACAACAAGGGGCATAACGCGGATTTTTTAACTGTATTTGATTTTAATTGCAACCAATATTATATCGTAGAAATAAGGTGAATATTTTTTTTTTTTTTTAAATATTATTTATATTTATAGATTTAAAAAAAAATTATTTCTTTTTTATTATTATTTTTACTCTTTTAAATATTTTTATTATTATGATTTACATAACGTGTTGCATTATATTGCAAAAATGACAACTCTCTGATTCCTGACAATGGTTTAAAACTTTGTGTATTTCTATGTCATAATGATTTAAGACATCTTTGTATAGATACTCGTAAGATAGCTTTGAAAAACACCGTAAGATAATCTTAGGATGGTCTTAAAATTTTCCTTGGATATGCCTTAGGAACAATCTTAGGAAATTTTCGTAATTATGCCTGCTGCACTATATGAGATTGATGTCTATAACAGGTGATTTTTATTCAGCTTCGTCTAAATTTCGATGTAAAATGTGAAACAGCTCTGTCTTTAAGTTAGTCCTATCCTGTTACTTTGGTAAACATGTAAATGTATATAAATACACACTAAATAAACAAGCTCCTACAACACTTTTGTGACTTCTCAACTGTGTTTGGAAAAAAAATTGTCTAAATCTTATATATGCAGGTCTGTTTATTTTTTACGTTTTGGGAAAATGTTATCCCTTTTAAAAAATATTTTCTGTTCAGCCAAAATTACTGTGTACGATGTAGATAAAACAATGCTTGTAGATCTGAGGATGATTCGTAGGAAGTTTAGAAGGCACAATTTTAAATCTTGATCAGAAAATCTTATAATAAATGGCTCAGGTGAAGAACTTTCTTGAGCTCTTGTTTATTAAGAAAGACCTTTGTCTATTGCTTATTGTTTATAAATGCTTGTCCTGATGTTTGGAATAAAGAAAAAAATACACAGTTGTAATTCCCGTAACACGATGATAATTCAATATAGTATTTGTAATAAGAGTGACAATATTGTTAAACATTAGGGGCAAGCTAGATAAGAAATTTAGTTAGTGCTAATAAATCATATAACAATTCTCTCAAACTTAATTTAACATGTATAAACATAACAAATTATTTTAATTTACTTTATCGTAAATTCTTTTTCACTATGAAAAATTATTGTTTATTATTGTAAATTATTATTTATTAAATCAAATTCTTGTTAAGAAAATAAAAAAAGAATTAGTCTATTGTAGTAATTAATTCTTCATTTATTATAATAAATATATAATTTTCCTACCAAAATTGCAATTAATAACTCGGTAGCTTGGTGTAAAGAGAACCCAATTAACAGGGTGAGGGTACCCGGTTCGATACCGAGCATTTCTACACTTTTTCTTATTAAAGTTATATATGGCGTATTTTTCAGAAGTTCAGACTAACTAAAATTTAAAAGATTTTTCTATTTGTTTTATTACTTTATATAAAGATAAGCCTTTTCCTGTAAATTACACAATGTAAATTAATCACATTTCAAAGATATTAGAAATTTAAAACAATAACCGATTTATTTACCGACTCCGCACTTAATTAACAGACACAGTTTAAAATCAATTTAACTATGGAAACATGGGGTTATTCAAGTTCATAATCGGTGAAAATTTTAATTTGGTAAATAACATATATCATGTTTATCTACACTCAATATCGTATTTTTTTTAGCTCAAATAAGCCATATATAGCTTTAAAGTATAGCGTAATTCGTAAAGTACGTAATTCTCCATTTTATTTGCATGTTGAATCTGAAGTGCCCCAGGGACCAACCCTTGGCCGGGTCTATTCCTCTTCTACATTAATGATCCGCCAGACTTTCAAACTCCACAATTCGGTTCTTCGCAGATGAAACCATAATGTACCTAACTTTTCTTCAAATTCACATTGCCACCCTTCAAGAAGACCTTGACAAATTCTCTTTTCGAAACAAAACAGAAAATGGAAATTCATCCGGGTACATGTACAGTAGTAGCAGTTTCAAATAAAGAAGGACCCTCTCCACCTACGCAAACATAAAATTGAAGTATCTACCAAATATCTAGGCTGTACTATAATACCAGATCTCAAGTAGGGAATAGATATATCTAACATCTGCAAGAAGGCGAATAAATCTTAAGGATTTTTACAATGCATTCTCCACATTTCATCTAAATTAATGAATGAAAGAGCATATCTATCTCTGCTTAGACCCTACATGTAGTGTAATACGCTTCGACAGTGTGGGACCCATACCAACAAGTCCACATAGATATGTTGGAAAAAGTGCAGAGACGAACGACATGATACGTAATAGGAAATTATAGAAATAACTCTAGCGTGGGAGAAATGATTAGACATCTAGAATGGAAGAACTTAAAAAGTAGAAGGAAAGATGCACGACTAATCATGATGTATAAGCTAGTTAACAACGAATAGCCAGTAGACCAGAGGACTCCTTCACCAAGCCTGTAAGCAGATTACTACACACAAAACTACATTCATTTGCAATACCATCTGCAACCATAAGCTTAAGAAGTGGTCATTCTCTTTTAACACCATTAAAGAATGGAACGGCTGTCCACCAGACATTGCAGTCGCAAAATCACTTGAGATCTTTAAATCTCAAGTAATCAAGACGATCTAATTTCATACAGAATATTTTTTCCCGTTTCAAATTTTTTCTTTAAATATGCGCACACATTACTGTCAGAATATTCAATTTGATGAAGGAGGCCAGATAGAAGAAGCAAAAGAAGAAGAAAATGGAAATTGTTCATGACTTCTTATTACTAGTGTGTTGTTCCCAAAGAAGACAATATGTAAAAGGTAAAGATAACGAACGGTGATAGATCTCAAAAAATCCACAAACAACATAAATGTGTGATTGAAATAGGACATAAGGTGCTAGTCAATTAGTTTATCAGAGGGCATAAAACAAGGACCCCTGGAAATTCCAGAGGTGGAATCAGGTGCCTAGGAGAAGTAAGCATCCCCTGTTGACTGGTCATACCCGCCGTGAGCCCTGTGTATCAGGTAGACGGAACTATCCATAGTCAATTCAGCACAATTGGTATGAAACAAGTCAGTCTAAATACGACCCAATGATAGGTTATATTTGCTAAGGTCATTATAACGACCATAAGATTTACGAAATGCTGACTTTAAGGGGCTGTTGAAATCCCTGTTACATCAACTTATCGGTGAGTAGCCTGCCTCGTTTTAAAAATTGATCGTACTCAGAGCAAGCTCTTGAGTAGTGAATAAGTTGGGAGAGATAAAGACCATAAGCAGGTGAAAGTGGAGTACTACTACATACAAAAGGAAAGTTGACAATGGAAAAGCTAAAGTCATCTCATTTGTCGTACTATTTAGTTGTTAATGTAGAGCCATTCATTACAAAAATAGCCCAAACTCTATGTCAACTTCATTATATATACATAGTAGTAAAGAAAACTTTGCATTACAAATCACCTCAATGGAATTTGACTTTTGTAGTACAATGTCATAATTAACGATATTAAAAACAAATTTTATCGTAATTAGATAGTTAGAGAAGGAAATGATTTTTCATTATGTGGTGTTTGTAGGTTGTACTGGTTTAAGATATATTATATCACTTAGCATATTTGTGTAATATGATAGCATGTTATGATTAAACATTACGTAATATTGTGACAAATAAGTTCTTATTTTTTATATATATTACTGTTTCCTTATCGTGGCTCTTTGAGTAATCGCTTCATTACTATAATGAAAATTGCTAGACAAAACAAATTAAATCATGATCAAAATTTAGTGTCTGCTTGTTGTTTTACTCTCTTTATGAGGGATAATACATTTAACATAGCAATCAAGAGATTAAATTGTCCTTAATACGATGATTGAAATTTCTATCCTTGTATTGATTTGGCATAGCATCTCTTTACATTTATATAGTTAATTGGTCAGTTAGTGTGTTTGTTTGTTTGTTAGTGGCACTTTATATTCTGGATGATTTATTACCAGGGTTCATAACTTGGTGATGGTTGGGTTTTTTTCCTTATTCGTAAGTGGAATAAATTTAGAATTTGAAGAGGAAAAAGTATTCTTAACCACTTCAAATAAGATGGCCAATTTTATCATATAATATATAAACAGTGTCTGATTAAATTGCCTGCTTATAAATGTTCACATCTGTGTCTTTAAGTGCATAACTAATATATTTTCTTACGATCATTGAACGTTGGAGGCTTTGTATTGAACTGAGTTTAGCCCTTTTTTAAAATCCACGTAAATTGTTTTTATTTGATTGAATTTGTTCAAGCATATTTCTTTTCATGATTGTGGTCATACTACTGTAAGTTAATATTCTTCCACTGTATTTCGTTGATTATGAGATTATTACACTGTATTACCCTAGAACCAAAAACTACTAAACGTACTGTACTAAACCAATAAACAGATAGTGTACTGCTTTGCTTCCTTGATTGGCTTTTTCAAGACTTGGAACCTTGATTTCTCTTATAAACCATATCAATAGTGTATTTTTGTAAAAGAATGGGGAAATAGGTCATTAGGTAAGTTTTTTTTAAATGATGAAAACGCATGTAAGAATTATAAACTATAATTGATGAAAGTATTTTTGTAATTTTGCTTTTCTTAAAAGATAAATAAAAATGGAAGATAACAAACAGTCATCAATTTCATAAATCCTGTAAACAATATTAACTAATAAAAAAAGACAGACCCCAGGAAAGAGGAATATTTATATCAAGACATTAGCATGTTATCTGTATTCTGCTATCACGTTCAATGAAGCTTGATTTCGTTGGTTTCTTTTCTTGATTGGCACTATATATTTTCTAGACTTACCAATCATGATTTTGTTTTTGCACTTTAAAATGATTTAAGTTTAAACGGTATGTCATGTCCTTATTACACATATTTCAACAAGTTTATCCGGAAACCCCTGTGTTCATTGCTATTTGTACTACACCTCGAAAGAGGCCTTGAATATTTTTTAAGAATTCATCACTTCACTTTTTGAAATTAGCTTGCTTAACTACAAAATTCAGTGTTTTTAAATGAAAAATAAAACCTCCTTCCAAATAGTGTTTCAAAACATGTAATCAGTATTTTCGAGTTAGTGGCACTATTTGCCATCTAAATAAACACCAATCACATATCTAAGAAAGAAAATAATAAATCAAGTGAAAAAATTATCTTACGCCTTATAACAAAAAGGAATTGCAAATAAAGGCGTATTTTAAATTTTAAAAAATCTAGATCTTTTTCTCTTAAAATGGCAATCTCGCACATTTGAAAGTTACATACCTGAATATTCAGTCATCATGGTTAAAACTACGGTAAACAACAAATACATAATTACGTTCTGTGCCAGGAAAATGTCTAAGAAATTGGATTGATTCTACCATTAAAGGCGGGAGGTTAAAAGCTAGATTATATACTTTTCGACAGGAATACCATTATGTTAAATTTAGCAATCTTTTAATTCCGCTTTTTGGGGATGGAACCGATTTCAGTACACGTTTTACGTACTGGTAACCTTTTATTTCTGTTTTGGGAGGAACCCACGTTTTACCCACGTTTACGTACTGGTAATTGAAAAAATATGTTCAATGTTATCATTCAAATAAATCATTTTTGATCAATTTGATGTTAATTCTGCGATCGCTTAAAATGAATGGTGTACAAGAACAATATAAATCATGTACGATATTGATGCAGATATCTTCGTCAGAGAAAAGTTTAATTTTAAACTACAGCATCATTTCTTAAACATAAAAAAAGATAATTTGTTGTACTGGGTATACAGGTCCAAAAAATAGGTACGTTTAAAAACTAAAAATTAAATAATAAATAAAGCAGTATATGTTTGAAGAAGACACATCTACATAAAATTTCAGACATAAAGATACACATTGTATTATCACTAAGGGTATATGTACGTATAGAAATGAAGAAAACATGTTCATATGTTCTTATGCTAGAGGATATATGTATAAATATAAAAAATGAAGAGAATAAATGAATATATCTCTGGTGTATTCAATGATATAACGAGAAAAGTTTGAAATGTTTAGAGGGGGAAATGTATACATAAGTGCAAAAGAGGAGTAGTTTATCTGCTTTAGTTTTTTTAGACCACCTGAGTTACTCAGGTGACCTATTGCTTTCTGTTTTCGGTTGTCGTTGTGGGTCGTGCGTTAACATTCGAATATTTTCAGCTTCTTCTCTGGAACCGCTGAACCAATTTCAACCATTGGCATAAAACATCTATGAGTGAAGGGGAACATAAATTGTGAATTTCATGGCCCCTGCTCCCCTGGGGCATTAGGGATAGGACATATATCCCGGTTGAGCCAAAAAATTATACAAAATTGTACAATTATACAAAGTTGTGAAATTTGTGGCCAAAGGATCAGGGGTTCAGGAGGGGTCTATTGATTATGTAGTGAAAGTGCAATATTTCTTCGAAAATCTTCTCCTCTCCTAGGTATTTAGCAGGTAAACTAAACGCGTGGTTATGATGAGCAAGGGTACCTCTTACAAAATTTATGAAATATGTGGCCCAGAGTCAGAAAATCAAGGAGGGAGTCTGTTTAAGATATAGTGAAAATGTACTATTTCTTTGCCCCTAAGTATTTAGCAAACTAATTACAAGGTTACAATGAGCGAAGACGCCTTTTCGAAAGTTTGAAATTCATAACCCCTGGAACAGGGGTTTTGGTGTTAGGTTGGCTCTTTCGAGTATATAGTAAAAATGCATAATTTCTTTGAAAATCTTCTCTCCCCATGGGTATTTAGCAAACATACTAAGTATATGGTAATGATGAGCAAGAGTGCCTCTTCCAAAATTGTGGATTTTTTGGCCTCTTTTTGGATCTCAGGGGCTCTGGTGTTAGGGTGGGGCTATGTTGAATCTATAGTAAATATGCATTATTTTTTGAGAATCTCCTTCTCTGCTCCTGGCCATCTTAGAGGCGGACAGAATATATAAAATTGTAGTCAGTAAGGGTATTTTTACCAGATTTTTAAAAGTCTGCAGCACGTGGTCAATTTATTAATTTGTATTCTACTGTAGAATCCCTCCCCCTTGCTATTCACTTTGATAATTAATCACTGTAAATAATATAATTGAAAGGTGTATTGAAAAATATATTTATACAAGAATTTTTATAATATTTAATATAAAAGGGAAATTAAAAAATCTTTGTACTTTATATATTCTTCAGAGACTAAGAGAGACCATTGTGAATGAGATGGGTTTACTAATTATTATTTTGATTAGTCCACATGAGGATAGAGACAAATGGGGCAAGTACAGGTCAGTAAATAGATCAACTTTAAGATTTGTGACTGAGCACTAAATAACTTATTTTGCTGATCCCTGATCATCCTATTTCTATTGCTTTTGGGCAACATAGATCATTTATAAGTGTATTATGTTTTATTTTATATTCAAT